ATTTAGAATGATTTACTATAACTGCCAATATCTAGAAGGTCGGATTCACCCTTAGTCTAACTTTTGGCTACCAGACGCTTGCACATGTGACCGACAGTAAAAAAGGCATTTATCAGCTAGCCGTAGATAAACGGGCTCTGGTTTGATGAAGAAGCCGCAAAATCAGTAATATCAGGAAACGGAAGGGTGAGCGTTTAGAAAATACTAAACAGTAAATAAATTGTTTTGTTGTCCTCGATTGGACGCTGATGTCCATATGCAGGCATCGACAACGTCAAACTAAGAAAAAAACTGCCTAATAACCGCGCATCAACGCATGAAGGTGGTTCCTGAACTTCCGGTACTTGACTCTAGTGGCTCTCCGAATCCGGCTTTGCAGATCATTGATCTTAATAAATCCACCATACAACCAAGGTTGGTTAGAATAAGCATGATTACAGTACAAGAACAGATTATTACTTCATTGACACATCTCAGCAAGTTTGGAGGCCTATTTGTGCTGAAAATGAAAAGTGCTATCGGCGCTCGTGGCATGATACATTTACTTCTTGCCAACTTGAACAGCAACTGCGGCCTGTGCACTAAGAATTCTAAGGAAAATACGTTTTAAAAAGTGCTGCAGTTCTTAAATATAGACATCAGATACATAACGTGGTATAGGTGACGCACTGCATGGTCGCGTAAAATGACCTGTAGACGAAACACTCCGGAAGAGTTCCAAATAACCAGCCCGAAATTAACAAGTAAATAGTCTACAATCTAATTCAATTTCAATTTCGGAAAATATAATAAAATGGCCAAATTCGATTTTGTATTTCGTGTTTATTACCAGCACACCAACCCGCACACTGGGAGAAAAAGAGGATAATGTCACGAGTGAAACAGCGCGCAGTCTTCAGCTTTCTTGGATTTTTTTTCTAATATAAGTTCAACTTACTGTTTTCATCCTGCAACTCTATGTCATTACATTTGTGGATCATAATCTTATACCAAACATCCTTTCAATATGATTGCTGTAGAATTCGAGCTTCGATAAAGACCACGTGGAGGTTATGGAAGCATCTCAGGATAGCAGGCAGACGTGTGGGCGACTAACAATAAGCACTATGCATTAGCATACTTTTGCACTACATTAGACTGCGGCATTTCTCTGTCGGCATGATTGAACTGTCAGAAGGTTGACAAAAATAGAAGTACTACCCTAATAGCAATGTTCCAGAACAAAAGGATAGAATGGTTCCAGTGGGACCAAAGGTCCCACGTTGGTCCTACTGCGCCGTGATTGCGTATATGGGCGGCATTCCGTGCGCTGACTGGGGGAGGTCACAAGCCGTCATCGAAATCGATGGTCGAA